CATCCATAGAAGTCATGGATGCATTAAAAAACGAAGAGTGACCTATGTTGGCACGCTCAAGCAAAACAAAAATGTACCACATATGTTACTAACCGGTGAACTAGGCGATGACAAATGACTATTTTTTTGCAATATTGAATATTGCAGGTGTCAATGCACACATTTTACATTGATGTTATGAAAACAACCAAACCATAGAGAGAAAAACCTTTTACAAAATTCTTGCAAGACAACTTGCAGCACCATATCTCAATATAATTATCTACAATTATCGATTACCTAGGAAGCTTTGAATTGGTATCAGTAGAATACTAAAGAAAGCTTTATCTGAGGTAGAGAAGAGAGAATTAAATAAGCAGAATCGGAAACGATAAAGATGTGGTATTATTTGTGATCGAAATAATGACAAAAAAACAAAAATGTCGTGCAGCAAATGTTCCCGACCCATGTGCGGCGACTGCAGGGCCTATGTTTGCAAGAATTGCATTTACAAAAATGTTACTTTTTAATAGTTCGCAGTTTTATTGATAATAATATATTTTAATTAGAAAGTTTGAATATTTTAGTTCCTTGTTCTTTATATGAAACCAAAAAATCAATAAAGAAATACCTAGTGATTTAATTTTTTATATTTCTTTTGTAAGAAATTATGTTCAGCTGTCAGAAAACCTTGAAAAATAAGTTATGTTACCTTTTTAAAGTATTTGACATTATTAATGAAAAATAAATCGAAAATGGGCGTACATGGTTTTATTTCAGCTCAAGTGATTACAAATTATAACAAAACAATGAATTACGTCTTTATTAATTTTACACAAAACTCAAAAAAAAAATGGGGTCAGGTAGATCAAAGGACGCAGTTATCGGCAGAATAAACCACAACGCCAGTTGGGGGTTAAGATAGGACGTCTGAGGTGGATTGGGCATGTAATTCGGATGGAACAAAATGACCCAGCTAGAAAAGGGCTCCTTGATAGACTCATTGGTCGGAGAAGAAGAGGTTGACCCAGTACAAGTTTCGTTGATAACATTGATGAAGACATGAGAAATATGGGAATACGTGCTTGGCGGGGAAAAGTGATGGAAAGGTACGACTGGAGAGAAATTCTTGAGGAGCCTATCAAGAATTAATTTATGATATTAATACCCGTCCATGTCTACATAAGATACATGGGGAGAGTTACATAAGTGTACATCCACTCATCACATTGACTTGCATACTGTACAGGGTGTCCCAAATTCGTATATTTGATAGGGTAATCTGAAAACTAAAGGAGATAAAAAAGTAGTTAAAATGCCATGACTTCTTTTTTTTTTTTTTTTCGTTAAAGTAACGATTGCCCAATCAAATCATCAATAGCTTCCCACATTAGCGAGTTAAAGAGCGATTCTTGAAAAATGTCGAAAATGACAGGGTTAAATATCTTCTTTATTAAGAAAAATTTTTAAAAACTTTTTTGGAACTTCATGTACCCTTGGATTTTTTTCAAATTTCGTTATTCGGCTATATTGGCGTCAATTTTTGTCCGAGAGTCAAGCGAGTGGACGTTTCTTACATAAAATTGACCGCTCGTTCTTATGCGATGCTCAGAATTTTTCTACATCTAACGGTTCGTAAGAAAAATTTTAATTTGGAGGTCTGTATTTGCTGAAAAAGTAAAGAATTTTTAATTCGATTTTTTCTCTTTCCCGGCAAATTTGGGTTGGCGGATCAGACTAAGACATTCTTTTTGTAATAAGCTCCTAAAGGAGATAAAAAAAAGTAGTTAAAATGCCATGACTTCTTTTTTTTTTTCGTTAAAGTAACGATCGCCCAATCAAATCATCAATAGCTCCCCACATTAGCGAGTTAAAGAGCGATTCTTGAAAAATGTCGAAAATGACAGGGTTAAATATCTTCTTTATTATGAAAAATTTTTAAAAACTTTTTTGGAACTTTTGATAGATATATTATGGAAGAATTCAGTGGCGTACAAGAAATTTTTGATGATGTCTCACTAAGGAACTCTTCCATAATATATCTATCGAACGTTCCAATAAAGTTTTTTAACATTTTTCTTAATAAAGAAGATATTTAACTCTGTCGTTTTCGATATTTTTCAACAATCGCCCTGTATCTCACTAATGTGGCGAGTTATTGATGATTAGATTGGGCAATCGATACGAAAGGAAAAAATAAGTCATGACATCTTAACTACTCTTTTCTGCCCCTCCTAGTTTTCGGTATACCCTGCAAAGCATACCAATTTGGGACGTCCTGTACACTGCAAGTCAGTGAGCGATTCAAGATATATAGTAAAAACCATGTACGATGGCCGAGTTGGGATTAAATACTTCTGATAATTTTAGTACTAGTGGAGAAGGTAAGCGGAGATACATTTTATCTTTATCTTTTATCATTTTATCTCCAGAATATTAAAAATATTCTGGAGCCTGTGGAATGAGAAAAATACACAAAAATAAAAACGGTCAACAAAAAACAAAAACACCTTGGTTTACTTTAGAGATGAAACAAAAATGTAACCAAAAAAAGAAAGCTTCCCTAAAATATAAATAAAACAAAACTAATGAATAATGCCAAGAATATAAGAGAATTGAACTGAAACTCATTGATTGGTAACAAAAACAAAAAGAGACTACTTGGAAAGATTCACAAAAGAACTACAGATGGATTGCTATGGACAACCAGACGAAATGAAAGAACAGGTGGAAATATCACACACAAAGAATGATACATGGGTGAACTTCCTTACAGAAATATTTAAAAAAGAAAACAAAGAATCTTTAACAGAAATGCCCATATAATAACTGATGAAAAGACCACAATATCTGGAAAAGGCATAAAAACAATCAAACTTTTTAATTTCTTTGCTGGATTTGTTGGTAGTAGTAACCACTGAGCCAAGGTATGTGAAGCTGTCAACACATTCAAAGACTGTTTTCCATTCCTCATTTGCTCCAGGATCATTAGTAACCAGCATGTTTTTGGTTTTATTGATGACTTGGCTGACCTGTTTCGCTGCTGTTTCCAAGACTACAAAATATTGCTCAACATCTCACTTGCTACTCCCTATAATGTCATCAGTGTATACTAAGATTTGTATCAATCTATCGAAAATCTAGGAGGCACGCCAGCTCATCCCCTAGTGAAGTTGATCCTTTATCTCAAAAGCTCTAGAATTTTCTCCCTGTATGCTTACGACTTGCTTTCAATTTGACGAATAGATATAGTTATGACATTTTCTTGCTCTGCTGTGTCACTCAGCACTGCTAACAAGTTTTCGTTTTAATATTTTATTGCAATAGTATGAAATAAACCGTATTTATACAGTGAATTTATTAACAAATATTTTTTAATGATTTCTATTTAATTTCGTGTTGACTTATAATGAAGGTTTACCAAATAATCAAAGCCATGCCTTTACATCTCATTGTCGTAGGATGTTTTCAAAGAACATTATTAAAAAACGTTTCTTAAAATGGAATACATCAAAAAGTGATCCAACAAGTCAACTCAAATCTTACAGAAGTATGAGAAGAAAGATTAACATCAGAAAATGTCAATGAAAAGTGGAGCAATATTTAGAAGGCCTTACTAAAGGCTGCAGAAGAAAATTTAAAGGCTGAAAAGACGAATAAAAAAGAGAAGTGGATCACTTCAGAATTTTAGCATTAATGGAAGAAAAGAAAAAAAGCCAAAGGAAGAAATGAGCCAAAATATCAAGAATTACAAAGTAGAATTAAAGTAGGGATAAAAAGGCGAATTAAAAGTAGTTACCAGATCAATGCATAGAAATAGAAGATTATAACAGAAAATACGATAGCTTTAATATGGATAAAAAAATAAAAGAACTAACAGATACCAAAAAGCGAGTACACTATGGAATACTCAAAGATGATAATGGCAAACTCATTGCAGACATCAAATATCAACTAAGATTTTGGCAAGAATACATAATGAAACTACTCGACGACGATAGAATGATAGAAAAAGATCCACATGAACAAACAGGACCGAAAATAATAATGTGCGAATTAGAACAGGCAATTGGAAATGTAAAAGATCGCAAAATCAGTAGGCCCAGATCATATACCCACTGAGCTAATTAAATGCATTGACGAAGAAACACTGCATATATTTTTAGATCTGTTCAACAAAGTATATACAACAGGAGTAATACCCGAAGATTGATTGCTGTCGACGTTTGTAACACTACCAAAGTCAGTACATGCGACAAAATGCTCCCAGTACAGAACAATTTCCTTAATAAGCCATACACTAAAGGTATTTCTCAAAATAATACATGGAAGACTATACAAAAAATAGAAGAAGATATAGATGGCACCCAGTTTGCATTCAGAGGAGGACTAGGAACGAGAGAGGCTCTGTTCGCTTTAAACGTTCTCGCGCAAAGACGAACTAAATATGAACCAGGATCTCTATGTCTGCTTTATGGATTTTCAAAAGGCTTTTAATGGAGTACGACAACAGAAACTCGTAAAACTGTTAAAAGAAACAAATGTGGATAGTCGAGATATACGGGTTATTGTCAATCTGTACTGGAATCAAAAAGGAAAGGTTAAAATAGAACATTATATTATGACTTAATCCCCTTTCTACATGTTTGAACCCTTTATATAAATAAATTATTCAATTATTTAATTAATTTATTTATACCTAGACGAATATTAATAGTTATCAGCAGGGAACCAATTTCCCGATGTTTATTTTAAATCAACTTAATTAACTTTACTTTGTAATACCTAAACATAATTTTTAAATTTTTATGATGTCTTTACGTTTATAGAATTACATTACGTTAACAATTTTATTAAAATTTCCTCTTTAGTATAAGTGATGTATTAATACATATTGTCAAATAATATATTATATTAATGAATTTGGCAATGATAAAGTCTGTTAATACTTCATATCTAACTTTGGATGCCCGTACGATTATTTCTTATACTTTTATAAGTAAAATAATCTAATAACTTACTGTCTTCATACAAGGGTGAACTCAGCACCTCTTTGGCTTTTTCCATAACTTCGTTATTCTCCAATTGTGCTTCTCTCGCCTCGGGATTTCCATCCACTGAGCACAGATCGTCCTGCATCATATCGTCAATCTCCCTGATGACCTCCTCGGCGGTCTTAAGAGGCTCATCGGCATCGTGACTGATACCACCGAGAATCAGGGCGTGCATATCTAGGTCACTAGCTACGGCCTCGTCTTCGGAGCTCAGATCAAGATCGTCTTCGGGCGTCTGGGGTTCCTGTAATTAACAGTTTTGTGTCATTAACATTAACAGTTAGGTTATTAACATGGGAAACTGTAAAAAGAACAGTGTGGAAAATTTGCGCAAAAATTCCATATTGGCCAAAATAAACAATATCGAAATTAAGATAACTAATCATATAACTAATATATCAAAATTACTCTATAGTAGAAGTCACAGTTAGAATGCAGTATTGGTCTTACGGCGCGAAGCGATGCCACTCATGTCGACACAGTGGTAGACATGAGGTCATTTGGCGATAGACAGAAATCAGGACCCTACGTTCGTTTCAAAAATCTTTATTCATTAATTTAACTAATATAAACTATAATATAACTAAGATAAATAAGAGAATAAACAAAAAAAAAACAAATTAATTCTATAGAAAATGCCTGGATACATAAATTACCTAATACCTCTAAATACTTATATACCGGGTGGTCCAATAAGCCGATCTCTCGGCTATATATCAGAAACTATTTATGTTATAACTTTAGGAGAAAAAATTCCTTAGTAAAAGTGGCCAAGAGAAATCGCTGGAAATAACTTTCAAGATTCTGGATTAACCGCTAGGGGGCGTAACCTGCGAAGAAAATTTTGAAAACCAGTTTTTTCTGAAATATGTCCAATTATACCAAGTGCTAAATAAGTAAACTAGAAAGAGGCATAAATTCTGCACAAAGTTGTTCAAGTACTTTTTTTTTATTTTTTTAAATAAAGGGTGGGGAGAGTGGGAAAGTATTTGTGGATAAATACCTATAACTTTGGTTTGGATCAAACCGATTTTAACAAAATTAGTGTCATTAGAAAAGAGTATGGATGAATTAATTTACACCTACTATAAAATAATTGCATTTAGTTTTAATTGTCGTAGGTAGAGGGTACTTTCGAATAGAAAAAATTAAAATTTGTCTTCAAAATTTTTTAATGGAAACACCTATTTATTGTAAAGTATAATAGAACTGAATTAAATTCGTAACAAATGGCGCAAACCGCATGTTAATAGCTTTTATCGAACTCGAGATATGAATAAAAACGCATAAACATAAGTAAGTATAGTATTGACACACCCTGTATTATAAAATAAATTTAAAAATAAGTCAGTAGGTACTTTCAAATTTTTTTATAGCAGAAAACTCTTAATGTTGGTACCTATTTTGACCATTGTTATTTCATATGATTAAAATTGTTTTTTCGAAACTATATAGGCTACGACAATGAATTTGACAGGGAGTTCATATTGTTTATTTATTGACAGCAGTCAAAATATTGTTAAGAAGTGTTATATGTATTATTATTCGAATTGAAAATTGCATTTTTTTTCAATAGATATTAATATTGGTAATATTAGTAATTAATTATCAGTACTAATAATTCGTGATGAGTATATCAAATTGTATGATATGATTGGAGTTTATTTCGAAAATCACCAAAATGGCGCTATTGCCTTACGTATATATTAAGTAGATATTTCGGACTACTTATATGTGGATTCTGTTGAATTAAAGCAAGAACATTGATTGAATTATCTTCGGTCATTACTCTACTACGTCGTTTAAAACAAGGACGAGAAAAACTACCAGTTTGTCTTAATCTTTGCCTTTCTTTCAAATATTTCTTTGCCATAATGTCTCCTGTCACGATATCTTACAAAATATATACGTGAGGCAATAGCGCATTTTGGTGACATTCGAAATAAACTCCAATCATATCATACAATTTGATATACTCATCACGAATTATTTGTACTGATAATTAATTATTAATATTACCAATATTAATATCTATTGAAAAAAGTGCATTCTTTAATTCGAATTATAATATAGCACTTCATAACAATGTTTTGACTGCTGTCAATAAATAAACAATATGAAACTCCCCGTCAAATTCATTGTCGTAGCCTACTTAGTTTCGAAAAAAAACTATTTTTTACAAAAAAGGTATCAACATTAAGATTCTTCTGTTATAAAAAAAATTGAAAATACCTACTCACTTATTTTTTAATGTAATTCTAATGCAGGGTGTGTCAATACTATACATACTTATGTTTATGAGTTTTTATTCATATCTCGAGTTCAACAAAAGCTATAACATGCGGTTTGCTCCATTTTGTTACGAATTTATTCCAGTTCCATTATAATTTAAAATAAATAGGTGTTTCCATTAAAAATTTTAAAGAAAAACAAATTTTAATTTTTTTGATTTGAAAGTCCCCTCTACCTACGACTATGAAAACTAAATGCAAGTATTTTATAGTAGATGTAAATTAATTCATCCACACTATTTCTAATGACACTAATTTGATTAAAATCGGTTTGGACCAAACCAAAGTTATAGGTATTTATCCACAAATACTTTCCCACTCTCCCCCACCCTTTATTTGAAAAAAATAAAAAAAAAGTACTTGAAACAACTTTGTGCAGAATTTATGCCCCTTTTTAGTTTACTTATTTAACACTTGGTATAATTGGACATATTTCCCAAAAAAACTGGTTTTCAAAATTTTCTTCGCAGGTTACGCCCCCTAGCGGTTAATCCAGAATCTTGAAAGTTATTTCCAGCGATTTCTCTTGGCCACTTTTACTAAGGAATTTTTTTTTCTAAAGTTATAACATGAATAGTTTCTGATATATAGCCGAGAGATCGGCTTATTGGACCACCCGGTACATATATACAAAAAAACCGAGTCGGTTACTCTATACGACACGATAAATATATATACAGAAAGTACACAAGAAGATCATAAATGAAACGTACAGTACTAAAAAACCAATGAGCATTAAACCAGATATTTCTCGTTAATTAATGATAATTGCAATCCATATATAAATCGCCTCATCCTCTGAATCATCTCCTATGTTAATTATCACCGATTCAATATCTTCCTGCAAATTGTCTACCGTAAACATTTTTCTTCTACGTGTTTCACATAATTATGCCACTACTCTTTAGATACTCGTTGGTAAGCTTCTTTTATCAACCGTTCTAACATTTTTTCTTTAAAATCGACGTTGTTTGAAGTCCCCTACCTTTTCACTTGACTCTACACCATCTCAATCGGGTTCAGCTCGTAATAGTAAGGCGACAGTTTCAAAACGTCAGACACCATAGTTTTCCGCAATTGTTTCAGTTTTGTACTTGTCGTACTCATCTCTAAATGCAGCCGCAGTATTCAGTAGTTCACTTTTTAGGTAATCTTCCTCGAAGAAAATGTTCTGTTCGATTAGCCTATCCTTGATTTGCCTTTTGTTTCACTTTTTATTCGGGAAATCAAATTTGCGGAAGTGGTACGACGCGTTATCAAAACGACAACGTTTTCTTTGTCTTTTGGCAAATTTGGAATTAACGTCTTTCCATTTTTCTTCATACCATTCTTCATGTAGATCCCCCGTTCATTTCGTCGTAGTAATCAGAGTTCCCTTCTTGGCCAATAAAGTTAATTCGGCACAGGCCACAAAACCAGTTTAGCGTCCAGCATAAAGAAGAACAAACCGAGGACCTCTTTGGGTGGGAGCTTTCAATCGAGTAGAGAGCTCTTTTATGAAGGCATGTCGTGGATTCTTGATCTTTGTTTTCCTCCATTCCTTTTTGACTGAATCACCGACGTTAATCCAAGACTCTTCGGTATAAACCAGGTTTACATTATCCTTCTTCCTCAATATTTTTGTTTGTCTGAGGTACTTGTGTCTCTTCTCTTCTTAACATGCCATACACCAAAGTGCGTAGGCGACTATCTCATTACTAGAATTCTGTTCTTGGCGGCGTGACACAGCTCACCTGTATTGTGTATTCCTGTCCATTCTTTAATATTCCTTAACCAGGATAATTGTTTGCGGCCGGCTCCTCTCCTACCTTCGATCTTCCCTTGTAGGATTAACTGTGGTATTTGATATTTTGCTCCTCTCAATATGTGCCCAAGGTAACCAATCTTGCGTTTTTTAATTAATTCAAAGAGTCTCTTTCCAAGCCGGCTCTATTAAGGACGTCATCGTTTCGAACTCTATCCACCCAAGGTATGCGTATCATTCTTCTCAATGACCACATTTCAAATGCTTCAAGTTTGTTGATAGATGTTTTTTTTTAAGTCCACGTTTACATGCCATAAAGCAAGATGGACCATATGCAGCACTTGACCATTCTGTAGCGTATTTCGAAGTTTAGGTGTGATTACATAGGAGCGGTCTGAATTTCACAAAGCTTGTCTTGCCATTTGTATTCGGGTTTTTATCTCGTGTTGTGGATCCGAATGGTCATTGATTGTGGTGCCAAGGTATTTAAAAGTTTTCACGCGATTTATACGATTGTCACCTATGTATATTATCGGGTTTTCTGGAGGGTTTCTGCTAATGACCATATATTTCGTTTTCAAAATGTTTATTTTGAGGCCATATTTTTTACCTATGCTATTCACCCTATCTGCTGATCTTCCAAATTATCAGTTATAATCACTGTGTCGTCCGCATAGCGTAGGTTGCTAATTGGTATGCCGTTCACCTTAATGGCTAATTCCGTATCTTCTAATGCTTCCGCAAAATATATTTTCAACATTTAAATTAAAAAGCATCGAAGAGAGTATGCAGCCTTGGCGGAACACCTTTACCGGATTTCAAATTCATCCGTATATTGGTCTTGATCAATCCTCACCTTTGCCATTTGGTTCCAGTATAGATTCTGAATAATTCTGATCTCCTTCTGGTCAATGTTGGCCCTATGTAGTAGTTCCATCATGATATCATGTTTAACATTGTCTTGCCTTCTCGTAGTCGATGAAGGTGAGGTAGACATCTTTTCGTTGATCTAAGCAGTTTTGTATTAAGGTGTTCAAACATAAAATTGCCTCTCTTGTTCCTAGTCCCCTTAAAACCGAATTGTGTTCACCCGCTAAGTTCTTCTAGTATCTTGTACATTCTTGAGTGTAATATCCTAAGGAAGAGTTTCAACAAGGGACTCATTAAACTGATTAAGCGGTGTTCATTGCATTTTGTGGCATTAGCTGT